AATCTCAGGAAGGTCAATAGTTTTGTAGTTTGAATTTTAGTGACGTCATGTGAAAACCAGCTATTGCTTTAACCATTTAATAAATGAATAATCCCAATATCGCGCCGAATTCGCCTGTCTGTTTGTTAACTTGGGGTCATTAACAAGGCATTAGCAGGCAATATTTCCCGCGTTTTTAAGACGTGCTTCGCTACTTATTCTCGAACGTAAAAGATACAGTAAACGATATACTCTACTCCTGATCTTGAAATTAACTCTGAATATTAATTTGAAGGAAAGACGCAATGGAGTAGGGACAAAAACTCGGCTGACGCTGCACCTTGCCAACCGGTCGCCAGGTATGCGCAACGACCGGCTGCAGAGCCGGACAGTGAGCAGGCCTAGCTCGGCCAGTGCAATCAAGACAAATATTTGTTATTTGAATTCATGGAGCTCACTTTTAGTCATCTCAGGAAGCCTAACGGACCAACTGTAATCTACGATCAACTACGTAGAAGGTGCTGGTGTCAAACAAAAGGCTTATATGAAGACATGATTGATCATCGCAGTTATTCACAAAACTTAAGCAGTTGTGAAATTAAAGCCTGAAAAAAATTCAGGCCTAAACGGGATTCGAACCCATGACCTCTGCGATACCGGTGAAGTGCTCTATCAACTGAGCTATCGNTCAGGCCTAAACGGGATTCGCACCCAAGACCTCTGCGATTCCGGTGAAGTGCTCTACCAACTGAGCTATCAAGCCAACTAGGAGCTGGCCACCTTGTGAGTTCGTAATATACTCGTAAAAGGTGAAGAATACAAATGAATACATGAAAGTTCATATATTTGAACTGCGGAGAATGATATGAAGACATGATTGATCATCGTAGTTAATCTTCAAATCTTTTTCGCAACGGGCGCAGTTTTGAAAATTAGGGAATATTCTCGGATATTCTCCAGTTTTTAGCTGGGGAATATTCGGTCACGTGACGTGTTCAGACCTATCGCGCGAGAGCGAAAATATTTTCTCGGAACAGATAATGTCCGCGGACAAATATCCTAGCATATTTTCGTGCCAAGTGGAGTCTATTGCTTATGTATTCCCCAATTTTCAAAACTGCGCGCGTTGCGAAAAAGACTTGAAGAATAATAAACACAATAGCCTCCATTTGGGACGAAAATATGCCCAGATATTTGTCCTTGGACATCATCTGTTCCTCTAAGTTCACAGTTTTCCTCGAGTTACGCTCTCGGAAAACTCTTTGCTTCTCGAAGCGGATATAATGTCCGCAGACAAATATCCTAGCATATTTCGCCCCAAATGGAGGCTGTTGTTTATATATTTTCGCGCCAAATGGAGGCTATGGTTTATTTAGAATTCATCAAATATTTTCGCTAGCGCGATTAGTCTAAACTCGTCATGTGACCGAATATTCCCCAGCTAAAACTGGGGAATATCCAAGTACAGCGAATACCGTCCGAATAACAGTACAAATGTACAGCAATATTGTACAGTTACTTGTGCAGTAGAAAACCAGGTCGGCGGTGCGCAAAACTGTCACACAGCTCTCTCTTTTCATTCATAAATTTATCGCAGCAGTTGGATAGTAAATCTCTTATTAGATGTTTTGGTGTGTATTATCGCTTCATATTTTTACTCGTTGTTTTATTTTGACTCGCCCTACGGGCAGTCAAAATACGGCACAACTCGTAAGATAAACAGCAATACTACACACCAAAACATCTAATAAGATAGATATATTCCCCAATTTTCAAAACTGCTTGTGTTGCGAAAGATATTTAAAGGATAACAAACACAATAGCCTCCATTTGACGCAAAAAATATGCTCGGATATTTGTCCTAGGACCAAACTTATTATTATCATTTCGGTAGGGGACATCATGCCGATCTTTTTTTGTTTGAGTACCAGTGATGAGCTAACAGTAATTGCATTCAGAAAGTTCGATATCTGTTTTGGAACACCCTAATTGGATACTACAGTAGAATTCCGAAACTAAC